ACCAATCAGTCCCATGCCCTCAACATGTTTTGACAACACCTTTATAGAAAGACCCTTGGTCATGGGATCTGCAACCATCATATCGGTACTAATATGCTCAATGCTGACTTCTTGCTTCTTAACATGGTCTCGAATAGCAAGATATTTTATGTCAATAAGCTTGCTTCGGCTACCACTTTTGTTGTTGTTAGAGAAGAAAACCGCAGCCGAATTATCACAGTAAACCTTTAATGGCCTAGAAATTGAATCCACAATTCGAAGCCCTGTGATAAAATTTCTTAACCAAAAAGCTTGTGATGTTGCTTCAAAGCATGCTATAAACTTTGCTTCCATTGTTGACAATGCAATTATCGTCTCTTTGGCGCTCTTCCATGAAACAGCACCGCCTGCTAGCAGATAGACATATCCTAAAGTGGATTTTCTAGAATCTTGACAACCCGCAAAATCCGAGTCTAAATATCCAACCACCTCAAGATAGTCAACATGCTTATAAGTAAGTATGTAGTCCTTGGTTCCCTTTAAATACCTCATGATTTTCTTTGCAGCCTTCCAATGTTTCATTCTCGGATTGCTTTGGTATCTTCCAAGCATCCCAACTGCAAATGCAATGTCAGGTCGTGTACAAACCAGAGCATGCATTAAACTACCTATGGCAGACGCATAGGGAATTCTAACCATTTGTTCCTTTTCCAAATCATTCTTCGGACATTGACTTAAACTAAATTTGTCACCCTTTAAAATGGGCACTACATTAGGAGTGCAATTACTCATCTTGAATTTCTCCAAAACTCTTTCAATGTAGGCTTTATGAGACAATCCTAATGTCCTTTTGGACCTATCTTTGTGAATCTCTATGCCAATGACATAAGAAGCTTCACTCACATCCTTCATTTCAAAATTTTGAGAAAGAAATTGTTTAGTATCATGCAACAATCCCAAATCATTAGATGCAAGTAAAATGTCATCCACATGTAGAACTAGAAAAATGTATTTGCTCCCACTAACCTTAAGGTATATACAATTATCCACAACATTCTCCGTAAAAGTGTTTAGTGAGTGGGTTTGGTTTATACATTTAAGATTTGACCATTCAAGAAAAGACTTGAACATCATGGCAGGAGGTATTCTTCTTTCTGAATTACTATTATTTTATTTCTTACAATTGGTATCAAAGCCACCTTCTGTCCTTGTTGTTTAGCGTAATTGTATGTCATGGAAACCAAATCGTATTACGTTCTGTTTTATACACTTGTTGGGCCTCTGTTCCGTTATGATTTCGATATGATAAATTTCTTCATGTGTTCGATTTGTTTTGTTGGCTATAACATATTATTTTGGTTTACGCTTCCTAATATTTTGATTAGTCTAAGTACACCATGTCTCTGCTTTTAGCCCTTTGTTTATTTTCTTCTGTCAAGGAGGTTTTGGAACTTGCAGGCCATTATACTTTTGAATATAAAATGATAGTCTAATATTTAATAGTGAAGTTTCAGTCAACATGGTGCCATCATTGTACATGACTTGTGATTGTGCCATATAATTTAACATTATTTAGAGTTTGAATTATCAGAATAAATATTCATTGTTTGATTCATCTTAATATATATATATATATATATATGTATATGTATATGTATATGTATATGAAACTTGATGGATTAAAATATTAATTTGATGTCTATCAAAGATGAATTATTGCACGATACATTACTTAGAGGGATTAGTAGAATTTATTCTGTTATGTGATTGTAGTATTTGCATCTAAAATTACTCCTATTCTGAATCTATTTCATCTTGGAAAATTATTGTATGTCATTAAGTATTGATTTTTATTTATTGAGAAACATTAAAAAAAAAAAAACTGCGTCCTCTTATTTTGTATAAATTCTAGAAATTATCATGTTTTATTTGGATTTCTTTGGTTTATTTTGGTATCTTCCAAGCATCCCAACAGCAAATGCAATGTCAGGTCGTGTACAAACCAAAACATGCATTAAACTGCCTATGTCAGACGAGTAGGGAATGCTAACCATTTGTTCCTTTTCCAAATCATTCTGCGGACATTGACTTAAATTGAATTTGTCACCCTTTAAAAGGGCGCTGCATTAGGAGTGCAATCACTCAACTTGAATTTCTTCAAAACTCTTTCAATGTAGGCTTTTTGAGACAGTCCTAATGTCTTTTTGGACATATCTCTGTGAATCTCCATGCCAATGACACAAAAAGCTTCACCCACATCTTTCAATTCAAAATTTTGGGAAAGAAATTGTTTAGTATCATTCAACAATCGCAAATCATTAGATACAAGTAAAATGTCATCCACATATAGAGCTAGAAAAATGTATTTGCTCCCACTAACCTTAAGGTATATACAGTTGTCCACAACATTCTCCGTAAAACCATATGAAGTAATAACATTGTGGAACTTTAAATACCACTGTCGGGAAGCTTGTTTTAGTCCATATATGAATTTCTTGAGCTTGCAAACTAAGTGACTATCTTTATCAGAACAAAAACCTTCAGGTTGGTTCATGTATACTTCTTCCTCAAGATCCCCATTTAAAAATGTCGTTTTCACATCCATTTGATGTAGCTCTAAATCAAAATGAGCTACTAATGCCATAATAATTCAAAATGGATCCTTCTTAGAAACTGGAGAAAATGTATTATGATAATCGGTGCCTTCTCTTTGAGTAAAACCCTTGGCTACAAGTCTAGCCTTATATCGTTCAACATTACCATTTGAGTCTTTCTTGGTCTTATAGGCCCCGTTTGGTGGAGCTGTTGGAAAGTGATTATAGCTTATAACTTAACAGCTTATAGCTTATAACTGTGAACATAAGCTGATTTTTGACTTATAAATTAAGCTTCTCCTCCCCCACTCAAAGAATAAGTTGATTTTTGATTTACAAAAAGCTATAAGCTGTATTGTTAAGCTGAACCAAACACATCAAAATAGCTTAAATTAAGCTAAAAGCTTAAATAAGCTAGAAATAAGCCCTACCAAACAGGGCTATAGACCCATTTATAGCCAACAGCTTTAACTCCTTTAGGCAACTCGACAATTTTCCAAACTTGATTCTTAGCTATAGATTCCAACTCTTCCTTCATGGCATCATACCATAATTTAGAATCATCCCTATTCATGGCATTGGAAAATGAAATAGGATCATCTTTAGGTCCGATGTCAAAATCAGACTCCATTGAGTATACAAAATAATCACCAATAATTGCTGACTTTCTAGCTCATGAGGATCTCCTTAATTCTGTAGTCTCAATTGGGACTTGAGCTACAGGCTCTATGTTGATTGGTTCCTCTTGTGGTGGAAGTTCTTGAATTTGTTGATTTTCAAGACTATCGGGTTGATTATCTTGAAAGACAACCAATTCACCTATATTCATGGGTGTTGTACTTGGATCCCGTGATTCCTTCCACTCTATCTTTCGAGGGTAACTCCCACTATGGTTAACTTCCTCAATAAACTTAGCATTTCTAGCTTCAACAATTCTAAGTGAATTTGAAGGACAATAAAATCTGTAACCCTTGGAGTTTTCCGCATAGCTTATAAAAAAACCACTAGCTGTTTTGGGGTCCAATTTCCTTAAATGTGGGTTATACACCCTCACTTCAACTGGACAACCCCAAACGTGTAAGTGTCTTAAACTTGGCTTCCATCCTTCCAATAACTCAAACAGTGTTTTGGAAACAACCTTGGATGGAACCCTATTTAAGATATATATAGTGGTTTTCAAAACTTCACTCCATAAATTTATAGACACATTAGAATAACTAAGCATGCTCCTTACCATTTCCATAAGTGTTCGATTCCTTCTTTCAGCAACACCATTTTGTTGTGGTGTACCAGGCATTGAATATTGTGCAATAATGTCTTCTTCCTTAAGGAACTTAGCAAATGGACCTGGTAATTGTCCCAATTCTGTGTACCTCACATAATATTCTCCGCCCCTGTCTGACCTCATAATTTTAATTTTCTTTTCTGTTTGTTTCTCTACCTCTGCTTTATAAACTTTAAAGGCATCAAGTGCCTCGGCCTTATCAAACAAGATGTAGAGATACATGTTTTGTGTGAAGTCATCAATAAATGAGATAAAATATCTCTGACCATTCCGACAATGTGGAGTAAATGGACCACAAATATCAGTGCGTATGATTCTAAGAATTTCCTCACTCCTTTTGGCACCTTTACTAGTCTTGTTGGTCTGCTTTCCCTTTATGCAGTCCACACAAATACCAAATTTGATAAAATCAAGAGTCGGAAGGACTTCATCATTAACCAACCTCTTTATTCTCTCAATGGAGATATGTCTTAATCTCCTATGCCAAAGAATAAAGGAGGACTCATTAACAATATTACGGTTAATGCCAATATCACCATGCAAGGTTAAAAGATTTTGTTCAAAAACAGGATCCAGATTTAATTTGTACAAACCATTAATTAAAGTATCAAATCTTACAGAAAAAGAGTCTTTAAACAAACTAAAATTTGCACCAACAAACTGAAATTCAAATCAAAATGGTACTAGTCTAGAAACAGAAATTAAGTTTTTTGAAAAGGATGGAATGTAAAATGCGTTTTCAACATCCAAAACAAAGCCTTTTTTTAAAACAAGTCCAAAATTTCCAATAGCTTCGACGTGCGAACACATCCCATTGCCCGAATAGATGCCTTGTTCGCTTCCCGTCGGTTTCCTTAAGCTGAGGAAGCCTTGCATGGTACTAGCAATGTGAATTGTAGAACCCGAATCAATCCACCAATCATATTGATGAGTATTAACAAAATTAGATTCATAACACACAAGAGAGATGAGATTACCTTTCTTCTTAATCTCTGAGGACTTAAGACGAGCGACAATGTCCCTCATTTTCATAATGTGCTCATGCACACTCCTAGAATTGTTATGCTTCATTCCTGATAGTTTGTTCATTAGGGTGCTTGCCAATGCTATGTTAGAACTAACAAATTGCTCTTCAATAGCCCTCATGTAGTCTTGACCTTATCAGATAATGGGATTGGGCCCCTAATGCTCTGGTTGATATGTGACTTTATGAGCATTAGGCTTAAGCGATTAGATCGCTCCCATTCATCATAAGAACTCTTTTCTGCAACGGAACTCTCGTCCGTGGGTTCAAGAGGTTCGTTCACACGAAGTGCCAGATCGAGGTTCATGCACCCTAATGTTAGAAGGATTTGGTCCTTCCAGTTCAAAAAATTATCACCGTTCAAGAATGGAATACAAGAAGACTCATTAGATAGTACAGAGGTAGAAATCGCTGCAATTACCAAGAACATTATTAATGCTTTGTAACAATAGCTATAGTCTGAATCAACCAATATCAAATTTAGTAACAAATCTAAACCTTCCTGTGGGTAGAGGTCACTAAACTGTATTAGATTTGCTATTACTTTATAATAAGACTAATGGGTTCCGAAATATGTAAGGAAAAAAAAAACTCATAACTATGGGTTTAGTGTGTTCAATCCCTTTAATACCCAATCCATTATCTTATTCCATTTAAATTTCATGAATAATTACTTTCCCATGGGACCAAGAAATTATTTATAAAACATAATTGGAATGTAAAAATGCCAAATGAATTTTTAACTTTATGTGATCAAAATACTGAGGACCACATCTTTATATCTTAAGATGCTGTGGCTACTCTTAAAACATAATAAAATTTTTAAATATGGAATAATTTATTAATGAGAGCAAATCCTTAGAGTCACAACAAATGCATAATCTATCAATGCACATAATGTATAATACATACAATCAGAGTAATATCACATGAAAAATCCCAAGACCAAACAAATGTAATTCAACCTTATGCTAAATTTTGCTTAAAAATTGGACCAAAATAAATTCCATAAGCCCAACACATAGTGCATGCATACTCTTATTTCACTGTGAAAGCCATGAAACACAGACGTGGTTTTGTAAATAGAATAGGATTGAAACTCTCTTCCTTCCACTTTTCCCACATGGTTCTGTAAAAGTGTTCAATGAGTGGGTTTTGTTTATATATTCAAGATTTGATCATTCAATGATAAAGATTCAAAGGCTTGAGCATCATGGCAGGAGGTATTCTTCTTTCTGAATTAATGTTATTTTAATTCTCACAATTGGTATCAGAGCCTCCTTTTGTATGTTGTTCAGCATTGCTGTAATTTATGGAGGCCAAATCTTGTTAAATCATGTTTTATATTGTTTTTGTTTATGCTATCCATATAATATAACGGTCTGATCACTAGCACACTACTGTGGCATAAGGAATTAGAGAACCAAAATTATTTTCAATTATTATTCTCAGTTTTGCGAATTCATGAAACTTGTTTATTTTAATTCTACTGCTCAAAATTGATTCTGCAAGTGTGTAATGGTTTGGGGCATTTAGATTGGTTAATATCTATATGGGTATAAAGCATATCTGGCTGCGTAATTAAAAAAAAAAAAAAAACTGCCTCCTCTTATTTAGTATAAATTCTAGAAATTATCATGTTTTATTTGAATTTTTTGATTTATTTTAAAAGGCATGAAAGACTTGAATTCATTTATAGAATTTTCATAAAGAAATTTTAACATGTTGTTAAGGATGTTTTGTTTATTATAGTTACATGTTTAAATAGTAAGCAAATTCAATTAAATTTCATACAATGAATAATAACATGTTCTTTTATTTTTTATAATTTTTGAGATTCATTGGCATGTTATCTAAAATAATGTAATATTAAATTACATGCATTAAGGTAATTATTTATGCATTGAAAATTCATGTGAAATAAGAGCATGTATACACTATGTGTTGGGCTTATGGAATTTATTTTGGTCCAATTTTTAAGTAAAATCTAGTATAAGGTTGAATTACATGTGTTTGGTCTTGCGATTTTTCATGTGATATTACTCTGATTGTATGTATTATACATTATGTGCATCAAAAGATTATGTATTTGTTGTGACTATAAGGATTTGCTCTTATTAATAAATTATGTCATATTTAAAAATTTTATTTTATTTTAAGAGTAGCCACAGCATCTTAAGACATAAAGATGTGGTCCTTAGTATTTTGATCACATAAAGTTAAAAATTAATTTGGCATTTTTATATTGCAACTATGTTTTATAAATAATTTCTTGGTCCCACAGGAAAGTAATTATTTATGAAATTTAATTGGAATAAGAAAATGGATTGGGTATTAAAGGGATTGAACACTCTAAATCCACAGGTATGAATTTTCTTTTCCTTAAATATTTCAGAACCCATTAGTCTTATTATAAAGTAATAGCAAATCTAATACAGTTTAGTGACCTCTACCGACAGGAAGGTTTAGATTTGTTACTGAATTTGACATTGGTTGATTCAGATTATAGTTATTGTTTTAAAGCATTAATAATGGTCTTGGTAATTGTAGTGATTTTTACCTCTGTACTGTCTAATGAGTCTTCTCGTATTCCATTCTCGAACGGTGATAATTTTTCGGACTGGAAGGACAAAATCCTTCTAACATTAGGGTGCATGGACCTCGATCTGGCACTCCGTATGGATGAACCTCCTGAACCCACGGACGAGAGTTCCACTGCAGAAAAGAGTGCTTATGATAAGTGGGAGCGATCTAATCGCTTAAGCTTAATGCTCATAAAGTCACATATCAGCCAGAGCATTAGGGGCTCAATCCCACCATCTGATAAGGTCAAGAACTACATGAAGGCAATTGAAGAGCAATTTGTTAGTTCTGACAAAGCACTGGCAAGCACCCTAATGAACAAACTATCAGGAATGAAGCATAACAATTCTAGAAGTGTGCGTGAGCACATTATGGAAATGAGAGACATTGCAGCTTGTCTTAAGTACTTAGAGATTGAGATTTCTGAGTCATTCCTTGTCAATTTCATACTCAATTCTCTTCCTGTGGAATATGGAGCATTCCAAATTTCTTACAACACACAGAAAGAAAAATGGTCTATCAATGAACTTTTGACCATGTGTGTTCAAGAGGAGGAGAGATTGAAGCATGAAAAAGTGGAAAGTGCTCATTTAGCAACACATAAAGGAGGGCAATGGAAAAAGGGCAAAGGTGATCAGAAATGGAAGAAGCTTGGTGTCACGACCCGAACTCGCCCTCTGGGTTAAGGCCATAACCGGCCAGTAATCACGAGATTACCTACGGCCTCAAACCAAATAAGACAAAACTCATCAGAGTAAAAGGGTCCAAATGGAAGCAATTTTAAAATTTTATCCATAGAGCCGTGCTTATATGCACATCATAACATTCCAGACATACATATGTTAATAACTCACAACAGAAAGTGTAATGACATAAGATTCTATACAGACAGGATCATCCAAACTAAGTCAATCCATGAAAACTCTATACAGACGTATTCAAAACTTCGCCAACCTGGCAAAATGTAAATACATAACAAAAGGGCGAAGACGGGTCTCGTGCGTGTGACATAAGGGCTGACTCCCTCAAAACCTTAGTTGTTCCATACAGACTTCACTGAGGCTGGGTCTGGACTTTTCTTGGCTCACTTACAAACACATGAATGAGCGTGAGCGATAGCCCAGTGAATAATATCAAATAAAGAATATACATTGGATCAATGTACATCAAACGGCCTTGAACCCAATTTACATTTTAACTAGTATATACATACATAGACACATGTAAGTTAAGTAACTGAAGTTCCAAACACATTATACGGCCTTGGGCCCAATTCATTCGTTTCATTGTCAAACTATTACTTGTGTCAAACTGGCCTTCAGCCTTTTCAAACTTTCATATCAAAATGGCCCTTAGGCCTATTTATACTTTCGTGTCGAAACAGCCTCTAGCCCATTCATTCATGTCTTGTCAAAACGACCTTCGATCTATTCATTTGTGCCAAAACGACCTTCGGTCTGCTCATTTGTGTCAAAACAGCCTTCGGCCCAATCACTTATGTCAAAACGGCCTTCGGCCCAATCATTCATGTCAAAACGACCTTAGGTCCATTCATATATGTCAAAGCGACCTTCGGTCCACTCATTTCTATCAAAACGGCCTTCGGCCCAATCATTCATGTCAAAATGGCCTTCGGCCCAATCATTTATGTCAAAACGACCTTAGGTCCATTCATATATGTCAAAACGGCCTTCGGCCCATACATTCGTGTCAAAACGGCCTTCGACCCATTCATTTCTATCAAAACGACCTTAGGTCCATTTATTTATATGGAAACGACCTTTGGTCCATTCATTCGTTCATGTCAGACTTTTGTCCACATTCCTAATTAGCAACTCATAAAGCTTATAAGGGAATAAACAGTTAGACATTGCTAAGCTTTCAAATATCGATATTACTCACAGTGATCGGCTTGTGTATTCGCCCTGGAGCTTGACCCTACACATTCCATGAACACAAAAGGGTCATTAACAATTCAATCCGATCCTTAATTCACATATTCCTCTTTAGGCTTTATTCTTATCTCATTAACTCATTTACAATGCTTAACATATGCCTAAGAGTGCTTGCAAGTGAAAGAGAATAGAAAACGAAACACAGAACGCATGAACAAAATTTCAGAAAATAGGGTCCCCGCTCGAACGTGGACTTCCCCGCTCGAGCGGGCCCTATAGGCCTGCAAAAGTGCTGGTTGCATCAAAAATACACTCGAGCGTGAAATAGGAAGCTCGAGCGGAAGACCTGTCAAAATAGCTCCCACGCTCAAGCGTTAATTACCCCGCTCGAGTGGACATCAAGTCTGTAAAAAGTACTGGAAGCACGCATTTCCTGCTCGAGTGTCAGGTTCCCCGCTCGAGCGGATCTCAAAATTCTGGAAAACCCAGAACTGTGTTCTTGAGCTCCCTTCAACATTCAAACCATCATTTCTTGCCTTTAATGGCTCCAATTTCACATATACTTGTACTAACATGGTATAAACACCAAAACACATCTTCATGGAGCACAATTTCAAGGATTTAACACATGCATGGCTCAAATTGACACCAAACTCAATTCTAGCATACACCTTAATGCATTCAAAGCTCTTATCTTCATAGATTGTACATGCATGTGATGTCTAGCACCCATTCTCAACTTAGATGATACCAATGGTGATTATACATGAGCTTCAACTACAAATTTACATGGACCATATCCCTTTAAGCTCAAACATGCAACATTCAAAGCAATTACACACACATTGTGTTCAAATATGGAAACACATAACAATTTCCTACATGCATGTGTTCTAAGACTTTAAATTTAACAAAACCAACTCAATTCATGTTCTTTAACATTTTTCAACTTTGAACTTAGGAATTACAAACAAGAGTCCATGAATTCACTTACTTCAGAGCTTCATCACTCAAGCTCTAGCCAAATCTTAAGCTAGATCTTCAAGAGATTCAAGTCTTGAACCAAAATTGTACAACTCTCCCCTTTTTCCTTCTATAAAATTTAACAAAACCAACTCAATTCATGTTCTTTAACATTTTTCAACTTTGAACTTAGGAATTA